TCATGTCGTTTGTAATAAATTAAAAATGTTAAAGTGAAACTCATAGATATTAAGGATTCTTTTTTTTAAATCTTTTTCTTCTTCCATCCTTTCCTCTTTCCTTTTTACCCTAATTTTTCTCTGTCTAATTCCACAATCAGATCACTTTTCTTCTGCCTCTTTCTGTTGTCTTTCTCTTTTCTCTTCCTTTTCCATTAAGCACTGCAACCGTCACAGTGACGAGGTCCTGTCGCGCGGTGTTGAATTAAGGCGCCTCAAAGTTTTGGCGGGAAAATCGCTAACTTGGGAACCAGAAAAGCTAGAAAGCTGAAATTTTGGGATTATGTTCCCCGTCTATATAGAACTCAAAGATTTTAAATTCAGTCTCCAGGTATGCGTGTTTCCCGCGTATGGCCCCGTGGACCGAAATGTCTTATCTCACTTTTATCTCCTTCTCTCACACCGTAATCTGTTGCGCCTTCGCCATTTAGACTTCTAGGATCAAACTGGTTTTGCTACAGTCTGCTTAAAGATGACTACCACAATTTAAAACACATCATTCTGTATTAGACGAACTTCAAAAGAGTGAAAGCATATCCCGTATGGTAAAGAAAAATGTACTATAGTATTAATAAAGCTTGCAAATACCCTGTGATTTTTGCGACTACAGCTGCATCGTCTGGTAGTGACTGTATTGCTGCTGCTGTGACCTGAGCATTCGTTTTCTTGCTTTTTTTTTCTTTCTCCCAAAAAAAAAAAAAAAAATCTGCCCAGATTAAGGAGAAGTGGAAAACAAACAGCAAAAAGAGGTACCTGAACTTTTTTGAGTGCAACGTAACTGCCATCTTCTTTACAGCGTGCTTTGTACACTTCAGAAAACTGTCCCTTGCCAATTTTCTTTTCAATTTCAAATGCATCCAATTTACCATATCGTGCCGATAAATCGTTTGTTAACATTTTCGTTTTGCTGAAATACATTTTATAACACAAATTCTACGAAAAACATTATTAAGACAATGTACGCCAAAAAAAGTTGGACTGGTCATGTGGTAAGAATGAGAGACAACAGGTGGATGCGGCAGAAATAGCGTCCTTGCAATATGAAAAGAGTACATGAGAAAAGCAGTAGATAAATTAAAATAATTTAATCATAATGAAATTCAATGCGAATGATAGCTCAACACAGATAAAGCCTTGGCAATATGCTGTTATTCGAAAATCTCACGCAAAAACGGCACGAAAAAAGCCTTTTTTTTTCGATTCTCCCTCATACGTTTTGCCTGCAGGTTTCCTGTTTGCTCTAAAAAAAATTCATTACTAATTCAGTACGTTATGCAGTTTTTCAAAATTCTCCAATTTTTCCAGCATTCAATTTTAAAATCCCCAGCTCTCTGCCCAGCAAGGGCATTTCACAAATGCCAAACATGCACAAACGTAAGCACGCAAACGAAAACAAATACACACGCATACACACATACATACATACAAACACACACGCACACCCATACAAACACACACATACAAAAAATACGAGACATACACTACAAACACACATGCATACCCATATATCTCACAGACACGCACTTTCACATGCATATAGAGAAATACACATACACAGACAAAAACGCATATGAAATACACATAAATACACATACACAGAAATACACATGTATGTGTTCACACAGACAAAAACGCATACGAATTCAAACACATTCACATACACAAAAACACACATAAACAAACAAACAAGTACACACATACAAACTTGTTTCTACTTCAAAAAAAAAAGAAAAAAAAAAAAAAGAATTTGTTTCCTGAAAAATTAATGAAGCACCGAAGTAAAACGAAGGATATAAGGGAATGTGAAGTGATATAAATGGCGTCACCCATGGTAACGAAATGCCAAACGGGCTCTCGTCATCGGTCATCAACTGCTTTGCCCATGCTCCGCATGATATCTGACAAATCGTCCCCCCCTCCTCTTCTCTCCACTTGCCTTCCCCCTCTCCTCAGCCCCCCTTCGGCTTCTCCTGGATGCTCACACCTTCCCTCCGTGCATCCAGAAAGGCCTTTCGTACTCATTAGCTTCCGTGCAGCACCTCTACTTTTCAACGCTAAATTGCAGATTCACCTGTTTTTTTTTTTAATGATTCTAGTACTTTTAAGCTAATTTCTCAATGCCTTCTATCTAGAAAGCTTCCCCAATGTTCCTGAAGCAACTCTCAGCTTTCAGTGACATCAGTAATCTCAAAATCAATGGTCACAGAGTGACATAATTTTTGTAAAGCAAACGATAAAAAAAAAAAAGGTTATGAACCCATTCTGACAACATCTACACAAAAGTGTTAAAATGTATATACACAGATTTTTTTTTACCTCATTCACTGGAGAAAAGCATTCCAGAGGTGTATAAGTGTATAACATGCATGAGTATACAAATATTAAGCAAAAAAAAAAGAGACAATTTTGGTAATAGGAAAAAAATCGGGATTTACAACTGGGATTTGAAGAGTCAAAAAACTTTGATCAATGGAAAATTTCGAGAATTCAAAGACTCAGGCTCAGGACCGAAGTTACTTTACCTTGACCTTGATTCAGAATTAAATTTCAAATGAAACAAAGAATTTCTCTAATCACAAACAAATTATTTATAACGGCGAAAAATTCATATCACAGCAAAAAGAATCGGAAAATCTCAAAGAACAAAAAAGCCGGAAATATGACCAACAGTCAAAAAAAGTCGAAAGAGAAGGAAAAAACGAGCTCAGCTTTTCGCATTTCGATTTATAGACTCAAAATGCCTACAGCATTCGATTTTGATAATTTCGATTTTGAATTGTTCTAATTACAATGATCAAACCTATTAACACATGTTACAGTAACGAACAAACAACGTAAAAAGCGTTTAAAGAGATTCTTCTCTTCAAATGCGTTATTTTGGACTTAGCAAAATACTTGACGAAATTCGTATCATCCGAATTTTGGATAATATCTTCATTTGGTGGATAATACTTGTGAACTGTAGTATCTCCTCGAAAGTCAACTGAGCGAACATCAAATATCTATCGAATTTTTGGGCTTTTTTTCCGTAGTTATATTAAAATTTATTGATCGGCAAGTTTCTTTTGTGGCGCAAAAACAAACATAACTTTAAAAAGATAAAACCATCCTGACAGATATCCGGAAAATATCCTGATACAAATATGCGAAAACCAAATTACTTTCTAAACATCAAAAATATTTGTTAGAGTTTTTCAGATTTTCTCCTCCGCTGCTAGCTAAAATTAAGGCAGTAGGGGTAAGTTCCCACAACCAAGAAGTGAAAAGTCAAAAGCCTTTCGCATGA